CCTCTATCGATGTATGCAGATGTATTCAAAAGCAGTAATCTGTCAAAGTAAAATTTGCAGATGTTCATGAAAGGTATGAAGCCTTCGGCATAGCCGAAGACAGCGCTGCTCTTACTTGTTTTTAACTATTTTTGGCTATAGTAGTGTGGTTCTACAATTGCCGTCTTCTAGCCAAACCTGTTGGTCTCTTGAATCATGTTATTTCCAATCCCTCTGCTTTCACATAGGATTGGTATCTTTACTCGCTAACTCACCGGCCCTGTAATCTCTCTATGGCTCGGGGGACCCATATGAAACTAACCTTGAATACGGCGCTAATATCTTTTAGAGCTGCGAGGCATTCCTTAGCATTATTGCGTTCATTGAATTGATGGCCGCCGCAGTCCGAGAATATATTAACCGTAATCTTCGTACTAAGGTATGCTGTAGTAGTCGGGAATTCCTAATTCCTTATAGAAAACTTCATAGCGAAAACTATTGTCTAGCTTGGTTCCATCCGTGTAAAAATTCAATTCACCACTCCATTGGCTTGGTGCTTGTCAGTCTCTTCTTGACGGAATGTTCGTCTCAAAGAGCCTTATCGAAGGTGGGTTTAGGGGCGAAGTAGTCGATTTCTTGGTTATAACTGCCCAGAGTGTGAAGTACGGAAGCGTGGCCGAACCACTAATCCTTCCACTGCACCATAATGTCAGAGCGTCGAAGCAGCGACCACGCAGTTCCTTACCAGGTTTATTGCAAGCAAATTGGTTAATACTTCTAGCACATTGTTTGGGGTGGCCCTTAAGGCACGTGAAATGCATAAAAAACGCTGTTCTCTGGACTTTACTCAGTAGTTTTAAGTAACTTGTCTTTTGACTTGCTGGCCACCATACAAGTATTCCATATAATAGTATTGACCCGACAACAGAAGTGTAAAGCCAAACAATTATTTACAATATTCAGTGCAATGTAGAATAACAATGAAAGAAAAAATTTGTAAAATAAAAAAAAAATAAAAAATCACAAGGACGAATATGGATTATTATTAATTTTCTTACCTAATAAAATTAAAAGAACGAAATTCGAGTATGTATCGCGTAATTTTTTCAAAAATTAATATTACAAATTTCGATGATATTCAAGAACACAATTTTAAAAGGATATTTTTAATACCTTTTCGTCGTTATGCTAAAAAAATCGATCAATGCTACAGAATTTTCTATTTTTTTTGGTACCCATATTGTTATTATATATTGGACTAAATTGTTTCAATAATTTTTTTTAATTAATTATATTTTTTAAGTTTCAATCTCCATTAAAAAAAATCCTGACGTCAGATAGAAAAACTAAATACGCAGTTAAGTATATTAAACTTAGCCCCTAGTTTCGTATATAGGTTTTCTTGTGTGTAAAATTTACTGTCGCTCGGTGTTATTAGCAAAGAAATCTCTAATCGCAATAAGTGTTTTTAGAAGTTGACTACTTTTGTATCTAATTATTATCACTATATCTCACGTTTGCGATCCTACCCCTTTGAAATCAATTTCATTTTTGATTTCTCTACTTTTCGGACCTTCATTGCAGAATATCGACAAAAACTCCTGTGTAGCTGTATGTACGAGTTCGACTATGTTTAAATATATGGAAATTGTTTTATGTGAATGCCCAGCGGATCAACACACGAGCCTTTAGAGAGAGTGTCACAAAATGTGCGCAAACGAGCTCGTATGAGAGCACACACATTTTTTTCTTTTCCGATTTTTTGATACTAAAGCCCTCACACACGATCATTTGCAGCTTGAATTTTGTGAAAAAAATTTAGTTTTGCCGCGTTAAATCTCGCATTGCACTCGCATGAGGTGTCATTTGCGAGCATTTGGTCCGCTGGGTTTAAACATATACACGAACAAGTACATATATTTTAATTAATATTTCTATATTGCATTTCAAACACATACATAACTATTACACTCACCTTTTGTGTTCGTCTGAATGGATGACATAGGTATGGCAACACAATTTGATGCCGCCTTCGTCGCTGATGTCCGTCTCTGCATTTGCTGCATCTTCTCATCCGGTGGCTCGATGCGCGGACACAAGGTATAGGCGACCTTACTGCCACGTCCTGGTGTTGGACTAATACGCGAATGGCGACCACCAGCGCTTACTGCCGTCGCAGCTGCTGCTGCTATGCGCTCTGCCATTGCGGAAGACCACAAACTGACAAACACGCGCGTCTAATTTGATTTACGCACAGCACAAAAAGCAATTATTTGCACCACATATGCCGCTGCGTTGATGCTGCGTATTTTCATAGCCATGCGTACGTTTACTTATACTCTCACACAGGCATTTACATATTTTATTTACACAACACACGCGCGCGCGCGTAAACAAAATTAAAGCACTGTTTTAGGCGCATTCACCCATTTCTGTTGTTGCTTAGCATTGTTGAATAAATAAACCGCTTATTATAAGTTGACCCAATGCGAGTGTATAAAAATACAACTGCAATGAGGGCTGGACCGTCCAGCTGGCACAAGTGCAAAAATAAAATGAATAGCAAA